TTTCTTCCATTTAATCAATCTTCTACTTAATCACAGCATTCTCTCTACAATATAGCCTGTTAGGCAGAGATAGCTTGTTTTGTCCCCTCCCCTTGCTTTTTGGCAGCAACAGACCTCTGAGATATAAACCACAAAGGAGTACACAAATGTTTGGTACTAAAACTGTACACTGTTCAGCTTTTAATGTTAACAACCATGCTCAGTCTCTTAGAATAGGGGGTGGAGAGACAATCTGCTGCATTAATGCTTTTGCCCTAGGTACTACAGTGATTTGAATCTTCTTTTTTCTAGGCCATAGTAGAAGATTGTGGCAGAACACCTCAGAGATCATTTTAGTGCTTTAAAAAAAGCAGGCTTGAGCCTCTACAGAGAAATAACGTGTGCATTTAAAAATATTTGCTTTCTGTTGGCATTTCTACCATTCCCTGCCACACCCTCTCAATTGCCTCTTTTTATGGGAGACCCTCCTTATTTTTTAACCAGATTTATTTCTGTCCCACACAAAGCTGGTGGTGTTGTTTCTGTTAAATTATTTGCATCAGAAATGCAGGCTTGTTAAGTGACACTGTAGCCAGTGCTAAATAAGTATAAATCTCCCGCAGGGCTTTCTTTTCTTATGTCATTTAGTTTGGAGTCTTTGTGCCTCATGGAGTAGCATGGCCACAGATAAACATGCTGTCTTTGTGAACCATCTATGCTTCTCCTATTCCTTTACCTCCTTGCCAATTCATTCCTCAAGACTACAGGCTTGTCTACATGGAGACTGTGTGCCCAGCAAGCCAAGGTGTTAATGAACAGACCTCCAGCCTACTGCGCACTAAGTGATATCTACTCTGGCCAGTGTTTTGTGTGTGTTTGTTTTGTTTTTGCACTAATTCTCCTTATATATAGTATAGGGAGTATAGTAAAAGTGAACAGCCATAATTAACCAATTTTGTGCAAACTTTTTGAAAGTCTTAATCCTTTACTGTTGGAAAAAGCAGCAGGATGATTCTTTTCCCACTTTGCTTAAGTACGTTCACGAGCATCTCCCTTTGGAGTTTTGTATGCAGGAAATCCTGAGATGATCTCTCAGTTATTCTACTATGAAAACTTTGCTTATTATACTTCCTATGGGAATGTCTAATATCTTCATTCCAGAGCCACATATATAGTAATTCCAAGAATAATTACTGTATGTCCAGGTGGGTGATGCATAGAAACTTTAAGAGTTTGGCAGAAGAAAGGAGAACCTGATTTTCAGAGGCGTATATTCATCCCTGGTACTGCAATGCAGTTTACTGAACAGACTGTTCTTATGGGCTATGTTCTTGCGCTTAATGAGGTGGAATTGTGGGAATAGCCAGCTCTGCATTTTCTAATAATATTATTAGAATGATGTTTATTCCATACATTGACTTTTTATGCTTAAATGTGGCTGGCTGAGTCTCTTAAAACAAGTTGACAGTGTCCTTTAAGCTTTCCAAACTAGGTTTTTTTTTCAGAGTACCTTTTGTTATTATAGTTTCTTTTGGTTTAAAAAAAAATTCCAAACAGTTTTGTTTTATTTTCTGTGTTCATCTTGTACTTGGGGGTCAGGCAGCAGAAAGAAATGCGTGCACATGCATGCACACATATATACACCCTTTACAGCGGTATCTTCTCATGACCTGAGCCTATAATAGAGGGTATATCTACACTGCAGTCTGGGAGAGGTGCCTGCAGCATGTGTAGCTGTACCTCGGCGAGCTCTGATCTAGCTAGCTCACTAAAAAAATTGCAGCAGCACAGGCAATGGCAGGGGCTAGCCGCCGAACGATGGACCCAGTGTCCTGGATGGGGTTGCCCCTTGGGAGGCCACTCCATGCTGGCACCTGTGCTGCTACGGCTTAACGACTACGTTTAGCCAGTTCTCTCAATCAAAGCTATCTTGTATTTGTTTCCACATGCTGTAATCAGACCTTTCGACTGTAGTGGAGACCTATCTGGAATGTAGTGATTTTTTTTTTGAAAAAAAGTCTTATTGGGGAAGCATATAACCCTTTTGAAGCTCCTTTCCTATATAATCTTTGATGTGCTGTACCAGAAGGACATCGAGTCTTCCTCTATTTCACAAATATTTGCAAACTAAGCCCTCGCTGCTGGACATGTGTAACTTAAAGCAGGTGAGTAGTCTCACTGACTCCAGTAGGATTATTCACGTATTTCAGGTTAAGCATGTACATTGTTGTTTGCAGAATCTAAATAAATAACTCAGTGGAATGCAATATAAGCCACACTACACTCAATTTTGGTTTCATAGTTTTAAGTTTCTAGAGTGTCATCAAAACCATGGAAAAATATCCCCGAAAGCAAGATTGCTAAGGTTAACAATTTACCTCTTTATGGCAAGTTTTACTTTTTTCCTATTTTCACCTTCCCTTTCCTTTATGTATTGTTTAATTTGATTATTTGTGTGGATGATTTATATTGTGTTATCCAATTTAGGTTTCAATAAAAGGATATTGGTGAATGGACCAATAGGGCAGATGAGCATTAGGACCAACTCAGGAGATGAAGGTGAAGAGTATTCCATGTAAATAAACATAAATCAAACTATTTCAAAACAGTAAAGTTGATATTAAAAAATAACCAGGTAATAAATGTACTGCATAAAACACAGCATGATATATTCTGGAGAGATAGAGGACATTTTTCTCAAAAACTGCAAAGTACTCATGAAAACTAACATTCAAATATACCTAAATACTTGGCAAGTAGATAGCACATTACAACTATGAGCTTCCTTACAAACATTAAAATACTCCCCACAATGCCGCTGTAGGAGAGGGGAGTATTACTCCTGTTTTCATTATTCTCAAAGAGACACAAATGCTAGAGGGTTAGATTCTGCCCTATCCTGTGCTCCACCTCTACTTCACCCCCAGTACCTTTCTGCCCAAGCAGTCCCACTGAAATTAATGGGATTACTCAAGGAATAAGGTGATGATTAACATGAGTAAAGAGGATGGAATTAGGCCCTATACTGAGCCAGTAAACTAACTGGAATAAGAACCCACAGGGCAAGGTCCTTGGGTGTAGCTGAACTTTCTGCTCAGTACAGGACCTGGTGTGCGTAAAGGAGGCTGTACACCGTCTATATGCCCTCCCCACCATCCTACGAGTGTCCAGTATCTAGTCTGGCTCCTGGTGCAAGTTAGAGAACTTTCAGAGGTGCTCTGAGTGCACCCAACTACAGCGGCTCGGAAGGGAGTATAGTGGTGGCCAAGGATCACACAGCACATATTCCTTTTCCCCAGGCTGAAAGGGGACAGAGGGAGAGCTGAATTCTAGGTAAGAATGTAAGCCAGTTGTGCAGCTACTTTGCACATGAAACAGCCACTGCAAGTAATATATTTAGTCCATTAGCCCATGTTACCACTAGACCAGTGATTCTCAAACTATTTATTGTTGTAGGCCACATATGCAGCTGTGTGTTATGAGGGTGGCATCCATACAATATATATACACTACTATCTGTATGACCCTGAGGAGGTCACATGGGCCATAGCTGCGTGCTGATTGGGCCGCAAGCAGTCTGAGGGCTGAGAAACACTGTTCTAGACTATAAAACTCAGTTGACATGTATAGGAAATGCAGCGATTGATTTAAAAAAGTTTGTTTTCCTGGGCTGAAGTGTTTAAAAATGCATGACATTTAACTAAATAAACTGCATAGAAATTTGTAGCTTCATATGTTTTCGGCAGTCTACATTTCAAACACATCCCCCCATAATCTCCTTTTCTAATAAATACACCCCAGAGATGATTCATCACCCTTACTCCTTATTTTCCTTTCTAGATCTTTGTCCCATGTTCAGTAATCTGTAGAATTGTGTACAATACTCCAGGTGAAATCTCACTAGCTCTTTGTATCTTGCCAGATCATCTCCAGATTTGTGTTCATCTAAGGACTCTGTTTTCTTTACTGCTGCCAGACATTGAGCTAGTGATTTTTAGTTTATCTCAGAACCTGTGCCCAGTCTCACAGCTGTGCCTATTTAATATATAATTCCCTTTGTCATTGTTCACTCTCAGACTCATTACTTCACATTTCAAATATTAAAACTGTATAAACCACTTACCCAGCCGTACTGTTTCCAGATTGTTTTGGCTACAGCCTCCCTCCTGTTTGTCCTATACAAATCTCAACACTTCGCTGCATGTTCCCTCCTGCGTGTCCTTGATCTCATCTATAGATCCCTCATTGAAGCAACAGGCTTCCCCCACTCACCTAACCCAAGTGCTCTGATTGCCATAAACTCTTGTCTACATTTAAATAATGTAGATAATGTTATAAGGCAAAATTGCTTGGAATACCTTCTTCCCCTTTCCTCATGCTTCTATGGCTGCACACACACACTGGTGCTTCATCACTCTCCCAGCCAATCCCACAGCAGCTCTCACTTCTATCCCAGCCCCAACTCAGCACCAGCAATCCACACCAGCCGCTGATACGGTCCACAGACTCCATACCACTTCCACATACTCCAGCACCCCCTACACAGACACACCCTCCCTAGAACTCCAACCTACTCCCAGCAACCATCATACATAAACATTTTCCTGTAGCAGCTCCCAGAAAAAGATCATTCCGTTTCTTGCCAAGAATGTAATCCCATAGTCCCCTGGGAAGGTCACAGCAAACAACAGTGAAATCTCAGGTGGTTAAAAATTGAGAACCAGAAATCTAAGGCATTTATCACTGTGGTATCCAAGTGCTATAGTTTGGCCCAATGCACATCTTAAGCAGCTAGGCTTCTCATTGGTGAGTTGCTCATGAGCGGAGGGAGAAGGAATCCTCACCCCAGGCAGGTGAGTAGCAACCTCACCTGCCATATCCACTCCTCCATCTGCAGGCCTAGAATAGTATGCAATGCTAGAACCTTGTTATCTATGTAGTGATGATCACACTAATTTTTTTCATTCTGAAGCCCCTACAGAATGAGGTTTAACAGCATGCAGGGGGTGGGAATCCCGTCACCCAGTTCCTGCACCAGCACACAGTGGAACTGGACCTGTTCTGCTTCATTTAGTAAGGCCCATAGTTTCCCATCTGCTGCCTCTCTCTCAATTGGAAAGAGATTTTCTGACCCATCCTTCTGCTCACTTCCCCTTTGTTATCTGTCCTTTTCACACCTCTTCATTTACCTTTTTTTTTTTTTGCTGTCCTTTTCTCTTTCTTTCTGCTTTATCCTCTTCTTCACTTTCATCCAATCTCTCCTTTCTACAGGGCATCTCCCCTTTTATATTTTTTCACTCTCTCCTTCTCTTCCCTGGGCTCTTACTTTTAGAACTCTCTTCTCCCATTTCTTTTCATTACTGACAATATTCTGATTCCACTGAAACACAGTAGCACAAAATCCAGAGTGTATATATAAACTGTAAAACAATGTGTATCAAGCACTCGTTATAATGCAAGTCTCCATGAAGACAAATGTTTTAACACCTGTGACATGAATTTACAAATCAAGAATATTCTAATAGTTAAAAACTGGCACCTGTATATCAGGTGGGATTTAGGGGAAAAGAAAGTGGCTGTACTGTATCAAAAGTGAAAGCAGTAACATTTTCCAAGTTGTGTGGGAGCCACTGCAGAATTTGTCTGCACTCAACCATGATCAATGCTGACTCAAGCCTTTGGTACAACTATCGAGTAAAAAAAATATGAACATAAGTTTTGATTTAGGTCTAGTACAGCTATTAAATGACTTTGAAAGTGATGACAGTGAGCCATTCCAGAATGAAAAAGGGACCGAGACGACTCATTACAAAAATGGCTTACCACAGCATAATTCTGTGCTCTCCTCCTCCTTCCTCTGCAGCATCCATGGAGACTGTTAGAACAAAGAAAAGAACAGTAGAAAAGGAACTGAGGCTTCACAGTTCATAGGAAAATTAAGTTTCAGTATTTCTAAAGTGTGTTACGCATGCAATATATTATCCATGAAACCCCCGCAAATTAACAGGATTTTGAGACCTGAAATTGATTATTCACTTTAAGAAGCACTGATGACTCTTATCACTTGCTCATGAAAGTTAGTTTTATAAAGGAACCTAGGATCTTTTTGGCAAAGGTTTACCTAGTTCTTCAAACTACAGTGATACAGAGCAGCTTTCTTTCTGCTCTCAGCATGGAAGCCTTTGAAATCCATCTGTTATAAATTAGTGGGGCAACTTGCTAAAGTTTGTTTAAAAACTAACTCAACTGACTAATTTCAGAAGGGTAGCTGTGGTAGTCTGCATCAGCAAAAACAATGAGGAGTCCTTGTGGCACCTTTGAGACTAACAAATATATTTGGGCATAAGCTTTCTTGGTCTATAATCCACCCTAATTGAATTGGTGTCATTAGCACTGACCCCCCCACTTGGTAAGGCAACTCCCATCTTTGTGTGTGCTGTATATTTATACCTGCCTACTTTTTTCCACTCCATGCATCTGATGAAGTGGGTTATAGCCCACAAAAGCTTATGCCCAAATAAATTTGTTAGTCTCTAAGGTGCCACAAGGACTTCTCATTGTTTCAACTGACTAAGTTTACCATTGCTATCAAGTTCTTTGTAATTTAACAATACATTAACATTAACGCCTGTAGGCTCTTTGATGGTCAGATCCATATCATGACAGTCTCATTTCAAGAGATTATTTAAACTTGTGCCTAACTTTAAGGATCGAAGGAGTTCCAACCCCAAGGGATAGACTACTCACATGCTTAGAGCTAGGCACGTACTTAAGCACCTACCTGAACTGGAATATGTGTGAGCACAGACTATGTTCCACAATTTCTACAGAAAGTGACAGGCAGCCAAATACTCCATGAAAATTGTACAGAGAGTGGATGCTCTTTTAAAATATTCTAGAGATATTACTGGCTCTAGCAGTAGTCCCCATTGTAAGTGTAGGGAAGATCTTTGAAACCTTGTAATTACTCTAAAACTGGAATTAACTTATTAATGGCATCCTCCACAATTGAGTAAAGAGCATATATTAACCCTTGGATATGGGAACAGCGCTAAACATAACACATTACAGCAGCAGGATGGGGGGAGGGGAGGATGTGCTTCTGACAGCCCCAAAGGTCAGAAACGGATTGTGGCATTCCTGCATTTCCTACAGTTCACTAATCAAGACTGGTGGCAGCCCCACTCTTTCCCTGGCACAATGACTATTCATTGTAAGAGAGAATGATTCTCTAGCCTAGGGGTTAGGGCACTCAGATGGGACCCCCAAGTTCAAGTCCCTACTCCAATGACTACATCATTATTTATCCACAGTAGAACAGCTTCAACAGCAGAAGTTGAGAAAGACCCATAACAGAATGCCCCATAGAGGGCAAAACTGAACCTGGTCTCTCACAGCCCAGATGAGAATTCTGCACACTGACCTAAAAATTATAAGGAGGGCAGCAGCAGCACCATCACCTCCTCCTCCTCCTCCAGCCATTTGGTGACTCTAAACTTCGGTTGCTTGCAGTGGAATGCCCAAAACTGAAATGAAAAACTGAGTCAGGTTGACCAAAATTCTTTGTTTAACAGAACTCAGAATGTTTTCTGACTTTTTCATTAGTCAAAAATTTCGGGGGAAAAATAAAACGTTTCAGGTCACAACCACACTTTTCCATTCTTCGGAATTACCAGCAAACCAAAAAATCCATTACTCACCCAGCTTTACGTGTGGAACTGGAATATTAGGGATTGGAAAGGAGAGGAACCCAGACAGGTGAATGGACCAGCACAAACAACAAGGGAAGCCGAGTAAGCAGGATGACTCTGAAGCATATCTGGCTAGCCAACACGTAATTAGTAGCTGTAATTGTGCTTGATAGCCCTGGGACGGTGATGCAACTTTTTGCCTGCTATGAAAAGCAGAAGATAATTGTGCCAGACAGCAGGAATGATGGGGAATAAAGATCCGAGGTTGATAAGAGTAGTCAGGGAGCTGGTTTTATGAAAGAAAAAGATAAAGGTGATGAACACTCAGCCCCCATCCACCAAAGCACATTGTGATGGGTTGGACCCCCCCTTCTGGCATGCCACCTGATGTACTGGGATTTCACTGAGCCTCTCAGCTCTGTGTGAGAGGACTCCCCCAGCACTCATGTGCACACCCCTTTTGGGAGATAAACCCAAAGTAATATTGTCTTGCACTGTATAGAAAAATCTGTGCAGCACAAGCTCATAAAAATCTGCCCTCTTCCTCAATGTGAACAGAGATGTGCACGACTTCTTGCCTCCCCCATTAGAAATTACATAAACTGGGTTTAATAATAAACAAAATAAGTTTATTAACTAAAAAAGGTAGATTTTAAGTGGTTAAAGGGATAGCAAACAGAACAAAGCAGATTACTTTAGTAAATAAACAAATGCCACAAACTGAGTTTAACATACTAGATAGGTAGGATACAAATTAGCAAATTCTCACCCTGAGTGATAAACAGGCTGGCAGATTCTTAAGGCACAAGTTGCCTTGGCTTTCCCAGGTTTGTTTGTTTTTGTTCTTTTTAAACACAAGGTAAAAATCCTTCCAGCCTGGGACCATCACTTCCCACAGTTAAGTCTTTTTTCCGCAGGTGTTTTCAGGTGTGGTGTTGTATGGATAGTGAGGATGCCTCATGTTGTCATCTTCCCCCCCTCCCCACACTCGCTGGAAAGCTATTTTGCTGTGATCTGGGTCAAACAGTTCCCACTGTATAGAGCTATCTGACCTGAGTCAAACAGTTCCCAAAGCAGCACATTTGAAATACAGAGACATGGTCAATATTCCTGGCTTCAGATAAAAAAAATGATACATTCATACAAATTGTGTAGACGCATTCAGTAAATCATAACCCTTCCAAGGTTACCTTACATGAGCCATCTTTCATAAAGTACATCTCAGTTTTGTCATATCCATATCATAAGCATATTTCCATATACGGAGTGTAATATTACACACATGCTTAACTTTAACCACTGAATAGTTCAATTTAAATCACACAGGCATTGGTACATGAGTTGTTGTGTAGAGGAACTAAAAGGTCTAATAGGTCTGATGGGAGCTGAGTGCATTCAGGAACTCACAGGGGTCACTCGGCACCTTTTCAGATTGGTCTTAAAGTGTTAAGAATATGTGAAGAAAGGATTTTTCAGAAAGTATAACCATGCAAATTCCAGAAAAGGTATAATTTGTATAATTGGCACTATTACAAGTTTAACTTGGGAAGATACTTATTTTGCTATAGTTCTACCAGCTAAAAATAGTTGTAAATACTTGGGTTTTTTAAAGGGAAGAACAAATGTGACAAGCATAAGGGAATTTATTTCTTAACACTCAAAATCTTTGCAAGACAATTTGGAAAAGTCCATAGTAACTGTATAAAGTGGTTGTGTGATTCAAGTGGAAACAAAATCTGTTGTTGGTTTAAAATATAGAAAGCTAGAAAGTCTTACATGAATCACTGATTTTTCCCTCTTCCCAGAAAATGTATATCTTTCATTAACAGATCTATCAGATAATGTTACTAAGAATTCAGATCCGTTATTCACTTTAATTTTAAAAGGGCTTCTTCAGAAGAAATATGGAAATAATGAAATACTAAGGAGGAGAAACATAAGTCCACATACAGTAGATCAATCTGTTTTGAAATTGTTAATGCTCCTCTTAAAATATGGTAGATACTACATCACCTATGAACTTATTTTTAAAGAATTATTTCAATTTCCACCTCCAAAAGACTACTGGTGAAATACATTGGCTTAAGAAAACAATCTACACATTTTCTGGATGCAGCAGGAGTGTGCACACACAATTATCTGAATTTATTCTACACCTCTGTACTTCCTATTGCTTTACCCCCAGATCTGCAAACACTTAAATTTACTTAATCCCTCACTTGTGTAGTCACATTGAAGTCAATAAGGCTACTCACATCTGCAAAGTTAGACACATGCTTAAGTGTTGAAGGGTTTGCGCTTACTGTTTCAAACAGTATACTGTATGCTTCCTAAAAAATTACCTTGATTCAGCAAAGCACTTAAGCATGTGCTTAAATCCATCCCTATTCAGGTAAGCACTTAAGTATGTACTTAAACTCCAGACTTGAGTAAGTGCTTTGCTGAATTGTGGCTCATGCTACAAAAATATTAAGGATGCACAGTTAAATACTCAGTCAGGCAATGTCCCCATGAAAGTTGCAGATACAGCCTTATAAATATGTATGACACTAATTATATGAGCTCTTGCTACTTCTCAAATAATAGAACGTCATCCAGCTTTCCCTATACCATTAGAAACATGCATATAGCATCTTTTACTGCTGTGCTCTGCTCTGTGACTACCAGGCAAAACAATCTGTGATGTGTAGGTACTAGATGTGCAGAGAATGGAAGCAGTATTCCTGTAGAGACCTGCTTCATTCAGAATGTAAATTCTGCCTACATTTGTAAAGTTTTTGGTACACAAACATGTTAGCCATGTGCTCGTGGGCAGTGCAACACACCTTTCTGTGCAACACTGATGGGTCACTGTTGAAAACTGTATCATAATTGGTGGAGGGAGGGGAATGTTAAAGTGCTGTATGCAATTTTCCAAGACTTATTCAGTCATGGCAAAACTTACACTAAAATCTGATCTATAATTGTCTCAATAATAAGTAAATAAATCCACATTTATCTGGTTTGAATTCCCTCTACTATGCTTTACTTCATCTTACAGATAAATTTCAAAGAGTGATATAATTCAAAGGATGTCATGTAAAGATCACTATGTACTGTATGTGCAGACTTCCTTGATTTATAAAGAGGTTTTGGTTGGTTCAGTAAGCCATGTTGTTTAAATTCAGAAAAATATAGCTTGGGTAGTGCTTTTCTGTCACGGTATTCTTTGTACCTCAATCATTACAAAAAAAGGTTACTGTCTTGCTTTCTTGAAGAAGGTTTATACTCAGAACCTTTCTAAATGTGTGAGTGATCCACCCAAAGCAGTTCTTAGTCTGGTTTTCATTGTTCTTTTCCTTTAATGACTTCACAAATATTAATGTATGCGGCTGACACCATTATCATTGCTTCAGATATTTCTTTTGTTAATATCTTTTTCCTCCAATTTAACCTAGATATTTAGCTCTCTTAACATTGTGTGAGGAACCTTTAAAAATGTGCAATCCAGTGTTCATATCCTCTTTGTGGCTGATCTACAGAAGATAGCTGCCTGCTACTCCTTCCAGCTTATGGTCAAGGACCAGATTGTTGAAAATAGTTGGGCACTTAGTGGGATTTTCAAAGCTACCTAGGCATCTAATTGCCATTGAAATGAATGTGAGTTGGGAATCTAGATGGTTCTATTAATCCAGCTAGGCATCTATCTCCATCTTCAGATACCTAAAGACCTTTAAAAATCTGGCCCCAAATCTTTTAGCTTGAGTTGTAGAGTCACAGGCTTTGGCACAGTGAATGCCCCATGTCCAAACCTTAGCACTAGCCTGGACTGGGTTATTATAACTAGATATGCTTCCCTTTCATTTAATATTGTTTTAATTTGAAAATTGAAGTTGATTAATTTACTCTACACTGTTTCAGCTAATAAATACCTTGGAACATTTCTTAAGCGCACACTACATTTTAACAGGCACGTGCCTGGCCACCTGAGCCCCTCTGCTAGGTGATTTAGAAGATAGCAAAATCAGTACATTAAAGGACCCAAGCAGCGGAGGAAAGAGAGCGACAGCTCTGCTGCATTCCTTCTCCTAACTTCAAGGAAACAATTTGCAGCTGCGGGGAAAAGTGGCAATAAGAAGCAGCCACTCTGTGCCATGCTCCCATGAAGACCAGGTTATTCTGAACCAGGACCAGTTGTGCCTTCACAGTTTCAAATCCCCTTTGTTGGGAGCTGTGTGGGAAGCAAAATGAGCACTGCAGATGCTCTGACCCACCACTTTAATCTGTAGTGACAAGATCCCCGGAGAGCTCAGGGTATGGATGACTTTGAGGCTGGAACCACCTCAGTTCTGCAAGACCAAAACCTATTTCCTCCATCCCGATGAAAGTTTTTGAAGAAAGCAGGTGTAGACCCTTGTCTACACACAAATGCTGCACTACGTTAATTATACTGGTATAGTTAAAATGGTACAACCCGCCACCCCTTATTGTTGAGTCAGTTATACTGGTGTAAAATTGCAGGGACCAGGATTAAGCACAATTATATCAATATAACTGCATCCACCCAAGGGATTCTACCAGCATATCTATACTGCTAACAAAAGAAAGCCCACCCCCAACCAACAAATAAGGTAATACAAGTACAAAAACTGTGTTTAGACTAGACCTGTGGGCAGCATATGACTCATTGACAGTAGTACAGAAAAAGTTGTGTTAAACTAACATGACAGACTACAGTTTTACTCCTGAAAGAAGTGTAAATTCAGGTTATTCCTCTTTTGGACACTTCTGCAGAATAATTTGGACAAAACTTCTAGTGCTTTTAAACCAAAGCCTTACAAATAGCATTGCAAAATG